GGTGAATCTGTTGTCACTGGTGATCGTCGTTTGAACCTTTCTGGATTCGCCATCAAATTGTTAAGTTTAATTATATCAAGTGCTGTGAGAAAAGGCTATAAATCTCCACCTCCAGCATCCTCACACGCGAGACTCTTCTTTATGTGTACAGATGTGTGTGTGCAGATGTGTGTGTGTGCAGATGTGACGTAATGACGCAAAGACATGTTCGAATCTCCCGCTGAAATCCACCAGTACCACTGGAGTTAAAAACATTATTACAAGCTTACCGCTTTGAATCGAGCTAAGGCAAGCAGATAGTTTTGAACACTGGTCATGTATTATGGTTATGGCTGGTTATGTATTTTCTCAAATATGTATTTTGGATAATTTTTAACCCAAAAAAAGCTACGGACTGCAGCTTTAAAGTTTGTCTCAACAAACTTATTTTCTAGAAAACTCGAAAATCTAAAGAAATATATGTAGGTGATGTGCTGCAGTTTGATCTGCGCTTGTTTTCCCAGAATGGCCTGGCAATTTTCCGCTTGGCCAGGCAAGTTAATTTCCTGTTTTTCCTGGAAATCTTTTCCTTTTCCATTTGAGTGTCCAACCTGTGTTGTGTAATCAGCCTTACCTCCTTCATTAGAAGCAATCAGGCTCCACTGCATTCATTTCCAGTGGATGTGAAGGAGTGTTTCCTAATCACAGCTGTTGATGTGGTGTAACCCGCTGCTCACTCCGAAAGCTGGTGTCTTATCCGACGGCAAACAGCATGTTGGTGACAAAAACATGGCTTATGTAAGCATATTAACATTGAAAAATATATTTCAGGAGTTAACATGTACATCAGATAAGGTAAAGAGTAGGCATATTTAGCTTGCTGTCCTCGGGGAGGGCTCGAGTTAGGCCTGGACTTCTGGCTGGGACAGGAACCATTAGCCACGCAGGGCTGGTAAGGGATTAACAAATGGCTTGAATGGGGATTTAACTTGATGAGAGCGAATGTTATGGTTCAATGTGGTTCGATGTAAACAAAATTACCTTTTTGGCTTGGCCTTTGTTTAATGAAAAAGGAAATGGTTTCATTGTCTAATACCAGCAGATCTGAAATTGCAGGATTGACCTTTGGGTTGAAACTGGAGGTGATGGCAAATTTTGGAGGTGAAAGCTAAAATGAACATTGTGTTGAGCGTACGGGCAGTATTGACAGTAGTAGCCCAGGCGGAGAGTGGAGACACATGTGGTGAGTAAGTCTATGGTTAAGGGTTGTCTAGTGTCTATTGGACAGGCAGGTTGGGTTATCTGGATTCCTTTAAAGTTTATTGACGAAGAGGGTTCGCTGTAAATTAATTAATGAAAAAACTGGATTCCGCTCAGATAACCTTTGATGGATCCATGGAGGCTAAGGCTTTCTTATTCAGATAAGAAATGAACTAATAGAAGGGAAAATCTGGAAACGACAGGTTGTAGATGAGGTAATTATCTAAAGTCTTCCACGCGGTCCAGAAGGTTTGGAGGGTTCTTGGAGAGACGCTTGTAGGATGGAGTTGAGGGAGACGTCAAGAAGTGGTTTTAGCGGGTGATTTACGGAAAGATGAGCTCTGGATAAGGAGGTACCAGGGTTGGGATGAATTCGCCCCTGGAGGATGTCCCCCGTTGCCCCAGAACACGAGCTCAGGGCCCGACGAGCCAGACTCACTCCACTGGCAGTTTGGATGGCTTCGGGAGAAGGGTTAACACACCGCAGAGAAGCAATACTGTATAGTGCATGAGAATTGGATGTCTGGATTGATCAGAGCTTGTCTAAGTGCTTTAACTGCCCATTTCTCTATGGCAGGGATGGCTGGATGTGCCGGAGTAGTAGAAGACATGGAGGAAGATGGCGGATGTCTCGCCGGTGGGGGTCTTGGCGTTGGGGTAGCCTGGCACCCTCGTGATGACGATAGGGGCTCGACGGCAGCGTTAGGGTGTTAGGCGGAGGAGACTCGCTCTTTAAGCCGGTGGGTTGCAGCGGAGACTCCTCAGAGACCAAAGATTCTTCATCGGACATGAAGAGCTCAATCTGGGACATGATGTGCGGGGCCAAATGCCGGAAAACTGTCGAGGAACAGAGGTGAGAGACGCCGATATAAAGGCTTCCTCTTGAGCTGATTGACTGGATTATCTGAACACGCTCCTCACAAACTTTATTCAAATAAACTTAATAGAACACATTTATCTATCAAATTACTGTCATGTTAATGTTACTTTATAAATAATACAATATTTTGAAGAAAAAACCCCCTATTAATTTCACCTCAGACCTTGCATGTTTTCTGTGTCAGAGAAATGTCCACTTAGAAGACAAGAACATTTTGAATGACAATTACAGTCAACAAAACTTGACAATTCTTATTTTTTGATGGAATATTGCAGCGTTTATTATAAATGATTTTTTAACACAATTTTTTTTAATTCATGTTCCTTGTAATCTTGAACAAGAATAACGTCCCCTCCCTCTTGCAGCTCATCTCTTCTTTTCTCTGATGACGAGGGCGGGGCAATGACCTGTCAATCACATTAGATCCACCAATAGCAAACCACAGACAAACTGAAGCCCCGCCCTACATTTGCTCTTGCTCCAGAAGTCTTTCACTCAGACATATACGTCACAATAGAGAAGAAAATATGAGCACAACAACAGTTGCTAGTCAAGTCACCTTCATTTATATAGCGCTTTTAACAATATAGATTGTTTCAAAGCGGCTTAACAGTGATAATAGGAAAAATATCAATATCCTGATGAATAGAATAGCTATTATAGTAATGTATAGTTGCTGGGCAAGGTTAACACGTGGTCTTGCCGCCTCAAGTGTACAGCCACTTGTTTTATACACCTGCTAATTCAATATGTGTTGACTTACAATAAGCAGGCTAACTTTTATTTGAGGAAATTGGTTTATAATAAGCTGTTGAGTTTGTCCCACATACACTATATGACAAATGAGTGCAGATGCAATGAACGATTAAATACAGTATTTTATTCACTGAAGCCAACATTGTGTCCCTGATCTTAGTGGGCAGGCGTAAGACACGCATGCCGAGAGACCACAACCAACACATCCAGTCTTCTGAACACAGGGCAACAGGCATATTTAACAACATTTACAGATTGAAAGGAGTGGTACAGGATCACAGCTAAAAAAAGGTATTTCACTCTATCTGAGTTTGGACACCAATCGGCCCAACTGATGGCTAAGGCGCATTAAAACCAGCAGCTCTCCTTTAATACTCACACAATTGCATTTTGAGAGGAGATCATACATTACAGGGTTTGATAGAGATTAAACGGACAAAGATGACATCCCTGGAAAAATAAACATCATGGTAAACATGAGCATTTGCACCCAGGAGATTAAAAGGAGTATTCCAGTCAAAATATTGTCATGAAGAAAGAAAGATATTCCACTTATCATTTCAAACCTCTTCACTTATGCAAGTCACACTTTTATGCGGTATTTCATTTGCGTTGTTATTGTTCTTATGTTGAAACCCTACAGTGCACTTGCATGCCACCATCTTTATGTAACACTTTTTCTTTTATTGTTCTCCTCATCCTATGTAAAATTTTAACAAACTATTTAAAAGGACTACATCTGTGTACAACGTGCACTGTTAAAGGGTTAGTGCCAGAGTTACAGCTCACAGAAAACTGTTTGGTCTGGAGAAGCGGTGAACACCAACCAACATAACACAGAGTAACGCATGAAAGGAAGAGTCCATCTCTTCATATATATCACCATTCATACTGAGGATGACAGTTCTGTAGTATTCATTACCAAGTGTGTATATACTGCTCAAAAGTAATTGCATTTTTTTTGTTCTAAACAGCAACAAATAAATAAAAATAAACATTGTCTAAGTGCTTCTGTGTGAGCAACAATATAAAGTCTGTTGTAAGAGCTAGTAATGACAAAAACACAACGTAGGTATGAACGAATCCTTTCTATTTGTCAAATTCTAACAAAAAATAAAGTGTCCTTAAAAATATTTCAAGTAAACAAATGTCATTATAGACGGCAGGGACTAATATCTGTAATGTGAATAGCTTTTCATTTAGATTCCTTTCAAACCCTTAAAATGGATAGTACGGTAAATAGATCCGGCATTGACGATCGTTGTTGGTGTGTAATAAACACGTTCATATAGTGTTCACGTCAGTCCTGTCTGTAATGAAAATGACATCGTAAAGTCAAGGTCAGCATCACGTAAAGCAACAGTTTCCAACCTAAATGCTCTAAATTCTTCTAGAAAACGTGTCTTTGAACAACCTAAACATGACAGCAAAAATACACAAGCACAGACAAACACACACAACTTTACACGAGTGAAAATGTACCTTCGGCTGTGTACCTTCAATAAAATCAACCAGCGATTTGGTTATGCTTGAAAAACCTGCGATATAATGAAGTAACATATCACTACCCTTTATAAAGCTCTCTAAAAGAGTCAAAAGAACTAATAAAGTGCACTATAAATACTACTGTCATCTTTACAACAATAATGCTCTCAACTGAGAATTAAAAATTCAAATATATAAGATTATAAAATACACAAAAGGAGCATTGGCATTTACACTACTGAAAAAGCAGAAGTATACTCTTTACTTCAACAAACAGATAAAAAAATAAATGGCACAAACTGCACAGTTGATGATGTCACGATTGACATCATCTCGCAGTCTGAGACGCTGCCGCAACTCAGCAAGTACCTCCAAATCATCATTAGAAAATAATCTATGTAGAGTTTCGGTCCATTGCTGCGACATGCTGGTACAATCCATTAACGCTAAGTGTGAGCAGAGATTACACTGAGAGTTCGGTGGCTGGTTAGTAGGTGGTTAGTACAGCGGTAGTGGACTACATCAGCGGCGACAGCGGGACGCTTTCGGCACCGCAAACATGCGCCCAAATCCTGAAACCCTTCTCGCTTTACACCCGGCCGCCACTGTCGGTTTATATCCGCCGCTTGTTTCTATATTAAAATAACAGCTAACGCTCCGAGTGAGACTATATCTACTGCCTAGCATATGTATGTGTGTGGACGTTAAACTTGAAGAAAATACTTCTCTTGAAAGAAAAGCAAATTAGGGGACAGCACAATCAAGAGAGTCGCGTTCTCTGAACGACACCGGTGGCACTTTACTTTACAGTCCCGTTCTGCATGCACTTACTATAGTAACTGGGTAATAACTAGATGCTAACCCTGAAACTATCCTTAGCCCAGGTCGTTACCTAATACTAGCTCGCACTCGTACTGTAAAATAAAATGCGACCATGAAATCTTTACACGCTTACAAATAAAAAGAAAAGCACACTATTTGCTCCACAAGCACCAGCTGGTCAAGGGAGACCTAGAGATTTACAACTTCCAATCAATTGATCAATTTACATTTTACACAAATGTTACCTGATACAACTGTCGGGCAGGTAAATAAATTACATCAAAATACAGTCACGCGTGATATACAGCGGCTCTATGTGAGCTTGGGCGTCTCGGGCCGGTAGTCCTTGCGCTCGGACGTGTTGCGCTTGACCTTGGCGCTGGCCGGCTGGGACTCCTGGTTGAGAGAAGGGCTGGACTGAGACTTCTTCAGCGCTGGGTCCCCGTCCCGGGCCGTCAGGATCTCCTTCACACCCTCCTTCAGGAGCTTCACGTACATCTCGTAACGGTTCTCCTTCAGAGAGGATTCAGAAAACCCATTAGACTCCATTATCATGTCATCAGCCCAACGACACAAGAGCTGCAACCACAGCTCAGCCCTGAACCCTGGCACTCACCGAACCTTTGGAGAAGTACCTCGCGAGTCACTCGTTTAAGCAGCAGTTCACTTCAGAATTACAATTTCCTGATAGTTTACTCTCCCCCCACGTCATCCAAGATGTTCATGTCTTTCTTTCTTCAGTCGAAAAGAAATGAAGGTTTTTGAGGAACACATTCCAGGGTTTTTCTCCATATAGAGACTTCAGTGGAGTCCAACGGTTTCAGTGCAGCTTCAAAGTCTCGACACGATCCAGCCGAGGAATAAGAGTCTGATCTAGACAAACCAGCGGACATTTTATAACAAAATACACATTTATATACTTTTAACCACAAATGCTGGTCTTGCACTCGCTGTGATGCGACACACATCGCGTTGAAAGGTCACGCGTGTTCCGGTTCACAAATGTAGAGTAGGGCAAAAAAGTTCATCTCATTTTCTCCTCCAACTTCAAAATCGTCCGACATCGTTGTTTTATCTTTTTTCGCGTTATAAATGGCGTTTGACTTAGTCTTTGCACATTCGCTTTGAATTTGGACCTTCAACCAGTTGGACTCCATTGAAGTCTCTATATGGAGAAAAACCCTGGAATGTTTTCCTCAAAAACCTTCATTTCTTTTCGACTGAAGAAAGAAAGACATGAACATCTTGATGATGACGTGGGGGAGAGTAAACTATCAGGAAATTTTCATTCTGAAGTGAACTAATCCTTTAAGGCAAGACCACTGTTTTTCATGGACTGACCAATTTTGAGATATTGAGCTATTTTGCTTCCATAACAAGTCTTCTTTCAGACTAGTGGATAGAGAATATCCTAAATACACATGTAAGAGTCTATTTTATTACACTTCATCTATTGCGTCTGTAGATTTAAATTACAATACATATCTTAGAAGGCATTTTGAGAAAGTCCGAAATATCGACTTCAGCAGCTCTTGCAAACACCAAATTTTACAGTTTTATTCCTCATCTGTGTGTGTTCTGAAGGGGTTTGTTCATGTATAATATGCCTTATTGTATATGTTATACGTTTTATTCCTAAAAACCTGGTGAAAACGTATCTTTTTTCTGTCTGTTGACAGAATTTTTCAATTTATGATAAAAAAAGATCCAAAATCCCCTCTGTAAAAACCTTTCACTTTAACATGTCAACAAAACGAAACAAGAATTTTGAACTTTATAAAATATGTTCAGATTTCTGTCTTGGAAATGTATGCAAATTTAATTTAATAGTACTAATTTTGCATAACATAACATTTCAGAAACCTGTAATACAAAATACCTTCACGTGGTGTGGACGCATGTTGGGGAGGTGTGGTGAAACCGCAGATGTTTGGTCGTACAGCACACAAACCGCACTCCTCGGCTGATTTCAGCATGTTGCTTTTCCAGCACAAAATTGCACACTGGGTAAAACTTTGTTACGCGGGACTATTCTCTGTTGATCGTTTTCTGTACTGAATGAAATCTTTTTATAATAAATCTATTATAATTTTCCTCAGTGTCTACCATTTGGAATTCATTTTATTCACTGAGCTTGTTGCAGTGCATTCTGGGATTGGCTTATCTGGGAAGGATATGCGATGCTGCCGAGCCTGCAGTTTCGAACAGCTGTTGTGTTGAAGATGTTGCCTAAACACACCAATCACTAATGTCAGGAACAGAGCTAAACTCTAAACACAGTGTAATAAACATTAACTTACAAAAGTGCACAATAAATCTCATCTCGAGCTGATTATGGCACAGATTTCTCAGGGGTGGTCCAAGGTAAAGCTGTATGTTCAGGAGGGTCTTTTACCCTTCACCTGTAAAACACACTGACTGGATATTGATCCTGATGCCTGGCCTAAGGACTGTAAAGGGTGTGTGTCTTCCCACAGAGGCGTTTCTTTTATCAGAGTGGGTGTGTGTTACATCGATGTGTGATTGGTCCAGTTTGTTATTAGGAAGAGTTAATACACCGCAATAGCAGTGAACTAATAAAACTGAGTTCACTTTAACCAATACATCATTCCACCATAATGGAGTGTATAATCTACATGTGTATATATTTGTGTCTCAGTGTTGTATTATTTATGGCACGCATCGCACCTCCCCTGCGCTTGATGACGAGCCATTATCCATCTGTTCTTCAACTCACTCACTCAACGCAGCTCGATAGCTCACACTCAAATGAACATCGTCATCATTTACTCTGCCTCATGTCGCTACAAACCTGCATGGCTTTCTTTCTTCAGTGGAGCACAAAAGAAGTTGTCTGAAGAGTGTTGAAAGATGATGAATGTTGGGAACCAAACCGTTTCAGTTCCCATTGACTTCCAATAAATGGACAAAAATATAATGGAAGTCAATGGGAACTGAAACGGTTTGGTTCCCAACTTCTTTTTGCTCCACTGGAGAAAGCAGCTCATACAGGACTGGAATGACACGAGGGAGAGTCAAGGATGACATTCATGGCTGGAGAAGTGTGGGATGGTTTCATAACTCAAGGCTACTTCTCCTTGACCTCAGTGATCGTAGAAGACACTTTACACTAATGGGTACAAAACTGGGTTTGATACGCTTTAAGTAAATCGTTTTTAACAAATTGTTTGTGAACGATGCTGCTATAGCATACAAGTTTTTTTTTTTCAATTAATTTCAAGTATAAATACTGTTTAAAACCCTGATTTGTTGCCTTTCTCTAGCAATGGATGGTAACATAATTTATAAAAATAAAAACCATAATGGTAATAATTTTTTTTTTTTTCACATTTAGCCTAAATGAAGCTGCTTCTCGGTAGAAAATATTTGTTTGATGATTTTGATCAAAAACATCTTTGATAACAGGATTGAATGGCGGCGCTTGATGCACACCGTCAACACAACAACTGTGTATCAATGGACTTCAAAGATTATTTGATTTTTAGAGATGTTTTAGACAAAATCTGCAAACAAGTTTCTAATTGTTACCGTATTAATTATTATTTATGCTTTAAATTATTAAGGCTACATCAAACAGCGCTGGTTTGAATCATTAAATATGAAAACAAGTATTTACACAGCATCTTGTTAATGTTTAAAGCGCAGCCTCTCTGATAGGAGTGCAGTTTGACTCTCCTCCTCTGACCTTAACCATCAATCTCAGCCAGAAAACGAAGCGGCTTCAGTGAACGCATCTCCATCAGTTCTCTGCGAGTTCATCCCTGACAGTCTAGATGAGGAAACGTCAAAGACTATGAATGCGAGGGTAAAATACGGCCAAGGTAACCCTGAGATGCTTGATTGTGTCTCTTGATCGTAAAAAGGCAAGGGCGCCTACCTCAAACTCCAGGTAGTGCTCCTTCAAGCGGTACTCGTC